TAAAATCGAGTGGGTTTGTTTGTTTTTACTACTGAATGCTGGGAGAGGCTTAAGCCTATTCACAAGCTTAGGGAAAGATCTGGTGGAGAGAGAAAACTGAAGAGAAAGGAAAGAAAGGATAGAATCACTATGCATAGGTAGAGGGATTCCTCTCCCTTTAAAGTAGAGGAGAAGGAGGTTAGAAATGGTCTGAAAGGGCAAGGGGGGGAGAGAAGGGAATAAAGGTTGAAAAAGTTTTACTCTCATTTCATAAAACGGGAAGTCAGGTGATCTGCTGAGAAGGAATTTGAAGTTTGAAGTCAACATCATGGAGAATGAGTAACAGAGAAGCACCGGAGGCACAGCTGAGGCTGGAAACTAGAAATCCATAACGCCAACTTTTACGTGGCTGCGTGGTTCTGCTGAGCAGCATCCAATAGTAAACATATAGGCATAGAGAAGAAAGAGAGTGGGATTGATATATTTTAAAAAGGGAGGAGGCAAGGGACTAGAAATTCTAAAGACGTCAGAATAGGTATAAGAGTACCTACTCTATAATGGGGGAAGATAAGAAGTGTTTTCAATTTTTTGCCCCTGAACCCTTAAGTACTTTTTAAAGGCACAACTAGACACATTGTCAACAATACATTATTAGTAGAAGATTCTACTCTACGTAAATTTTTTGAAAAATATCTTGTTAGATACCATTTCCCCAGCTTAAATATTAGGTACTCAATAAACTTGCTTGGAGGTTTAACATCCAAAGTGATAAACAGAGATTCCAGATGTTTCCTTACCAGTAGTAGCAATACCACAAATTTTCAGTAAAATTATACTTTGATTGGCTCCTTGCCTAAGGGGCTGGTAGGCTAGTCTAGTCTTTGATCCTAGTGCTTAAATAAAAAAAATGACCAAAGGATAACAGATTATTTCAAGCACATCCAGATGAAAAGTTTGTGTATTATCATGAGCACCAATTTTTGAATAATGATTTCAACCTGACATCCTATCTCAAACTGAGAGGTGACTTTCCTTTAAATAAAATTACCTTTCACCACATTACAATTTTTTAAGGCTCTTAGATGTTTTCTGGATTTTGTGTTTTATTTTTTTTAACCATAAAATTAAGTCCAAAGACTTAAACCAGGGGTAGGAACCTGCAAACTTAAGGCCACATGTGGCCTTCTAGGTCCTTAAGTGCGGCCTTTTGACTGAATCCAAATTTTACAGAACAAATTTTTATTTTTATTAATACATTTTTGTTCATCTTTTGTATTTTTATTTTATTTTTAAAATGAATGTATTTAAAATACCAAAGAATAAAATAGGTTTCAACAAAATAATCCTACCAGACTGACTGGCACAATTAGAACATTAGTAAGCCATAAGGGCTAAATTTACAGCTGCCGTGCTCAGGATTTAGTGTTAACTTTCCCCGCCTGATTGGCACCACTACTGCATGAAGCTAGTTGGCAAGAGTTTATGGGGGTTGCGTATACCAGTCTGTTATCAGCTTTTGAGAAAGGTGCATAGTGTTTCTGTTTGCAGTGGAATTTATGAATAATTGCACAGCTCAATAGTATTTTTTTAATTCTCTCTGCTTAATAGCCCATCATGTCAGAGAAGACTAAGCAAACGCTGAAGGAAGTAAATAGATTTTTAAATGAGGATTGGGAATTGCGATATTATCTTGTTTCTACTAAAGATAAGATGATTTGCTTGCTTTGTGATACTGCAATATCAACATTAAAGAAATTCAATGCTCATCAGCACTGTAACACTTATAAGGACCACAAAAATTTTAAATTAGAGGGAGAAGCATGAAAGATTGTATTATAGAAATTAAAAGATAAAAAGCAAAAGCAAACACAATTCTTTCAAGTAGTAATAAGACCTGGAAATAATGCCACTGAAGCAACTTATAAAGTAGCTTACATGATTGGGAAAAAAGGGAAGCCATTCACTGATGTAAAAATTGTGAAAGAATGCGTTGTCAAAGTTGTAGGATGCTTAGACCCTGATAACATTTCAAAGTACAAACAACTACCTCTTTCAAGGAGAATCATAACTGATCAGCAGCAGGAATTAGCCTTCGACTTAATAGAACAACTTCATGCAATACTTCAAAAGGAAAATACATATTATTCGATCACTTTGGATGAATCAACTGATACTACTGACTCAGCACAGTTTTTATACATCATTCGGGTCATAACAGAAGATTTTCCTTGCTAAGAAGAATTACTTGCTTTGGGCACTCTTGCAAACAGAGCCCTGGGAATAGATATCTTCAACAACTGTCAAGATAAATGTCATGAATTTGGACTGAATTTGGCAAATTTAGTGAGTGTATGGGCAGATGGTGCATATTCCATGACAGGAAGGGTTTACTGCACAGATAAAACAATATATTAACAGATCCAGATGATCTCATTTCTTTTCATTGTATCTTGCATCAGCAGAATCTCTGTGCTAAAGGTACTATTTTAGGTGACACTTTGCAATAAGTTATACGTATTGTTAACTATATTTGTGCAAACGTAACATGGCATCACCAGTTTTGTAACATGCTAAAGTTGAAGATGAGGTATTCAGCGTGGATTTGCAGTATCATTCTAAAGTGTGTTGGCTATCTCAGGGACAGGTGTTAGCCAAAATTTTTACAGGTGAATGATACATTGAGATTGTATTTAGTGTGGAGAATGGATTGATAGAGGGGGTGTTTTGGGCTGCTATAACAAAATACCATAGACTGATGGCTTAAAAAAACAGACATTTATTTCTCACAGTTGTGTAGGCTGGGGAGTCCGGATCAAAGTGCTAGCCAGTTTGGTTCCTGGCTAGGGCCCTCTTCCTTGTTTACGGATAGCTGCCTTCTTGTGTTTTCTTGTGGTCGGGTGGGGAGGGGGGATTCCCAAAGTCCCCACCTGCATATAACATCATGCTGTGGGTTAGGGCTTCAGTATATGAATCTGGGGGGTCACAAACCTGCAGTCCATAATAAGGGGAAAGGCTGGAGGAGGCAAGTTAAGAGGCTTCTTTAGTAAATCCACGTGAGAGATGATGGTGACCTGACCCAGGGTATTGGTTATTCTAAAGAATGTTTCACATGAATGTGATGTTTAAATTATGAGACATTCTTGATCTTATCACTTGAAGCTTAGTATTTATGATAATTTCTTACATAGGAGCTTATATATCCATTCATATTAGCAATTTTTCCCTTTTTATAATCAAGTATAATTTGCAAAATTAAAATCACCTAACCTTAAATTTATGAGCATTTTATATATTCACTGCAGAGGAAAAAGCCTGAAACACTCTTGTTCCAGATACCTGCATTGCTTCCTCTTTCATCTCCTTCAAATCTTTGCTCAAATGTTACCCTCTCAGTGATACTTTTTGATCACCCTATTAAAATGGCAAAAACCACCCAACTGTCTCTAGTTCTCTCTAGTCCCCTTCCCTGGTTTGTTTAACAAAGCATTTATCACCTATTTGATATACTATATATTTTAAATATTCATGTGTTTATTGTCTCTCATCCAACTAGAGCAAACATTCCATGAAGGCTAAAATTTTGGCCTGTTTTGCTTACTGCTATAACTTCAATTTCCAGAATAGCTCCCAGCATTAATAGGGAGGAAAGTAAAAGGAAGGGAGGGAAGGAGAAGAAAAATAAATTAAGTCTCCAAAAGTGGCTTAAATATTTTAGGTAAACATGAGTACAACATGTCCGAATGCTTTCTTGCTTTTCAACCATTTACTGCTTTGAATCCACATTCTCCTACTTAACCCAAATCAAGACGCCCTTAAGGTCACAAATGACTGATACCTGTCTAGAGCACCAACCTCTGTGCTGCAATCAAATATTCAAATGCTTTCCAACAAAAAGCAGACACAACAAAGTCATTAAAAGGTTAGTTAATTTTAAAATTAATAAATAGTTTCATTTTTTGAAATTATTCAGTACATGATAGTTAGATTTTTAGAAAATAACGTACATTTTTAAGTGTATCTAATTGAAGTTTCTTGAATGCAGCCTTATTTGATTATAGCTAAATTAATGCAGCCTTCCAACATGAAAAGGTTCCCCACCCCTAACTTAAACTACAGTGAAGCTGGTATAACTGACCTAAAGTACTAATGATTTTGGAAGTTTTATGAACTCAAAAATATGTGGTCATGAGGCAATCATGGAAATTTCTAGACTAGAGAGAAAAACTGTATTTTCCCTTTTAAATTCTGTTCAGTGGTATCATGAAAGAAATTTCAGCGAAATATCATTTATATGTAGTTACAATTATCTTACCCCCAAATGTAGGCTATCTGCAAAAAACAAATACTATTATTTTTTAAAGCAACATTATTTACAACATATACCATAAAGTTGTAATAATAGAATCACAAAAAATAAAGGGAAAAGTTTTTCACTTAAATTGAATTTTAGGAGAATAAAATGTTGAGTCACAAAATCCAACAAACTTTTATCAGCAGACAGTGAAATTTTCATAATTTGCTGAAATTTCTTTCATGATACCACTGAGATTAGGAGGCGTATATGGTATTTGGTAGGTCAGACTTGAAAAGACCTTTAAGAATGTTTTCAGGCCCATGTACTTTCTTCATCAGTTCTGACAAATTTTACTCAAATTATTTGAGGATGTCTCTTTTCTTTCTATACAATTACTCTGCTGTTCTCTCATTGGTATTAAACACATTCTTCCACATTTAGCCAATATATTGCTCATCCTATATATAACAACTTATAGAGTCTTTCTGAAACAGGATCAGAGAGAAATGAAGTGGAATTTGATTCACAGGCCCATTGCTGTATTTACTTTAAGCCTGGTCTATTTCTTTTAGGCTCTCAAATGGGCCAATTTGTACCACTATTACATTTATCAAACATTATGAAAATGGTAGTTCGCAAATTAGTTGAATAGAGGATTCAATCTTAATTAAAATAAAGTATAAAAAGACAAAAACTCTGATATCTAGAAGCACAATAATTGACTCACCTGCGGCTGACTGATTTCTTTTCCACTTCTCCTTCTCCAGCTGATTTAACATTTGCACTTGTGTCCTTTTTTAACTTTTTTGCAATTCTTTCTCTCATCAGGTTCTTCTCATCACCATCAATACATTCATCATGCTCTGCACTTTCATCTTCTCCATCCTATAGAAACTGAAATTGAATATTTGCCAGGCATTCAATTTCCCCTTTCACTTCTAGAGACCCATTGCATCCAATGGCTCTCCTCATTGCATTCTAGACCAGCTTTGTTTTTTGTTTTGTTTTGTTCTGAATTAGTAAGGGCTTGAAGAATCTGCTCCAGGTGGGAATGGCCTTGGGTCCTGCTCTAAGCAAACTGTGTAAGTATGGGATATTCCAGGAAAGGTTGTTTACTCAATTTGTGCCCAGCAACTCTGTGCAGCACAGACTGCTCCCCTGTATCACCCAAGATATTGGATGTACCTATGTTCCTATTATTATCCCAGCGGGAAATGTGGCTTCTGGAGGTAGTGGGCCAGCATACTAACCTCAACCAGGGATTAATTCAAGTAGAAGTGGTATAGTGGAGAAGCTGATATTTATTTCTATAATCTAAGTCATAGCAATCACTCCTCTTCTGAAAATCCTCCAGTGGAGTCCCACCTCACTCAAGGCCCTGTACAATCATACCTTCCTGACATAGTCTCCTACAACTCCAGCCCAACAACACTAGCCAACTTTGGAGTTGTTGTTCTCTCTAGCCTGAAACACTCTTGTTCCAGATACCTGCATTGCTTCCTCTTTCATCTCCTTCAAATCTTTGCTCAAATGTTACCCTCTCAGTGATACTTTTTGATCACCCTATTAAAATGGCAAAAACCACCCAACTGTCTCTAGTTCTCTCTAGTCCCCTTCCCTGGTTTGTTTAACAAAGCATTTATCACCTATTTGATATACTATATATTTTAAATATTCATGTGTTTATTGTCTCTCATCCAACTAGAGCAAACATTCCATGAGGGCTAAAATTTTGGCCTGTTTTGCTTACTGCTATAACTTCAATTTCCAGAATAGCTCCCAGCATTAATAGGGAGGAAAGTAAAAGGAAGGGAGGGAAGGAGAAGAAAGAAATTACCCCAAGTGGATTAATTTTCTTTTGTGAATCTTTAATCTGGGGAGTCAGAGTGAGGAAGGATTCTTCACTTGAGGCTTGTGGACCCCTAAAGCAACGGTCCTCAAAGACTGGTCCTCAGACTATATTATGTGGTTGTAACGTTAAAAACGTAAAATCCTAGCGCTCATTGCAGACTCATTGAACCAAAATCTCCAGGGATAGGAATTGTGAATATTTTTAGCAAGATGTTTAAGTAATTCTTAAGCACTAAAAGTTGATAACCAGGGACCTAGCCTTCCATGCTTGGGCCTCAGAAAATCTAACAACAACACAACAAAAATCCCCTGCAAATTCATACAATTTTGGTTGTGTATAGTACATTTTCCCAGGAAAGGATCCACAGTTTTAATCATTTCAAAGGCTCTGGGACACAAAACAGGTTAAAGACCATACACTATCCTAAGATGACCTCGTCCTACCCAGGATATTAAGAGCAATGTATAGTCTTACATTCCAGCCTATACCTTGATTCTATTTTCTAGACCCATATTATTGTTACACAGATGTCTCCAAATAATCTCAATCTCCAAATGCACAAAATTAACCTATTTTTCATCTTTCTCCCTACCTCAAGCCTACACTTTGTTTTGTACCAATCTAACAAGTTGCCCAAACAGAAACCTTGTGGTTGTCCTAGACTCCTCCTCCTTCATTTCATAGTATGGAATCAGTCACTTCCCAGACCTCTTTCAAGTTAATCTCTTTCCCATCTCCCAGCTGTGGTCTTACATCAAGCTCTCCTGCAATAGCTTCCCAGTAGCTCTCCTTGATTCCAGTTTTTTTCCTCTTGTTCATCCTCTTTAACTGTGGTTCCCAACCCCTGGGCTGCAGACTAGTACTGGTGCCTGGTACTGGTTATGAATAGGGCTGCACAGCAGGAGGTCAGCAGAGGGTGAGCGAGGGAAGCTTCATCTGTATTTATAGTTGCTCCCCATTGCTTGTATCACTCACTGCCCGAGCTCCACGTCCTGTCAGATCAGCAGCGGCATTAGATTCTCGTAGGAGCGCGAACCCTACAGTAAACTGTGCATGAGAGGGATCTACGTTGCACATTCCTTATGAGAACCTAAAGCCTGATCTGAGGTGGAGCTGAGGCGGTGATGCTAGCACTGGGAAGTGGCTGCAAATACAGATTATCATTAGCGGAGAGGTTTGACTGCACAGAGACCATAATAAATCAATTGCTTGTAGACTCATATCAAAACCCTATCAGTGAGTGGCAAGTGACAAGCTACATCTGTAGGCAGGTTTTATAGTGGCAAGCGAGTTGATGTACTTCAATTGTACAGCTGCATTTAGAGGCAGGCTTTAAGTTAGAATCTGACACTTATTTTAGTCTGCGCATGGCCTGCCATTATTTTATTTACCACTTCTGTCCGTGTGTCTTTCCCGCACTGTACACTTATCTCAGTCACAGTTTTGACAAGCCCACAAGCTAATCCTAGCAAAAATGAGTAAAAAACAAATGTCGCTGGAGAGCTTCTTTGAAAAGGGGGAAAGGCCCAATGATAAGGCAGCAGAAGACTCCAAGACTGCCAACAAAATGAAAGCTGCATTTAAAAGAAAAAAGAGTTCTACTTAAATTACGGGTTCATTGCAACAGGTGATTCACATTCTCCAAGCCCACTTTGTATAATATGTGGCAATTGGCTATCAGGTGAAGCCATGAAACCTTCAAAACTGCTTCACCACATGGAGACCATGCACAGACTTTGGAGTTTTTCAAAAGAAATGTGAACATGAAAAACAGAAGCAATTATTGAAGGCCACCACTTCATCAAATGTGTCTGCACTGAGAGCATCATTCTTAGTGGCTAACTGCATTGCTAAAGCTAAGAAGCCCTTTACTATTATTGGTGAAGAGTTCATCCTGCCTGCTGCTAAGGAAATTTGCCATGAACTTTTTAGGAGAGGCTGCAGTTCAAAAGGTGGCACATGTTCCTCATTCAGCTCACCATAACTAGAAGAATTGATGAAGTAGCGAAGGATATTGAGTAACAATTGTTAGAGAGGATTAATGAGTCACTGTGGTACACAATCGAGGTTCACAAGTCTACCAATGTTGACAACAAGGCAACAATGCTTGTTTTGTGAGATATATTTTTCAGGAGGATTTCACGAAGATACATTATGTGCACTTTTGTTGCCAACCAACACCACAGCTGCAGAACTATTCAAGTCTTTGAATGACTACGTATCAGGAAAACTGAATTGGTCATTTTATGTCAGCATATGCACGGACAAAGCGGCTGCCATGACTGGAGGGCTTTCCGGTTTCTCTACTCAGGTCAAGGAGGTTGCTTGTGAACGTGAGTCTACGCAGTGTGTCATCCATAGAGAAATATTGGCTAGCTGAAAAATGTCACCTGAACTAAACAATATTTTGTAGCATGTAATTAAAATTATCAACCACATTAAAATGTAATACATGCTGTTAACTCACATCTGTCCGTCTGCACAGCTCTGTGAGTAGACGGATGCAGAGCACACACATCTTCTCTTATACACAGAAGTTAGATGGTTTTCTAAAGGTAGATCACTGGCCAGAGTTTTTGAGTTATGAGAGCCGCTCCAGAGATTTCTTTCAGAAAAACAGTCACCACTGGCAGCACATTTCAGTGACACAGAATGGGTTGCAAAACTTGCTTACTTGTGTGACATATTCAACCTGCTCAAAGAACTCAATCTGTCACTTCAGGATAGGACAACTGTGTTCAAGTCGGCAGATAGAGTGGCTGCATTCAAAGCCACACTGGAATTATGGGGGCGACAAGTGAACATTGAGGTTTTTGACATGTTTCAAATGTTAGCAGAGATTTTGAAAGAGACTGAGCCAAGGCCTTTTTTCCCCCAGCTGGTGCATGATCACCTATCTCAGCTTTTAAAAGAGTCTGAGCATTACTTCCCAACCACAAAGACGCCTGAACTGGGAAGGAATGGATCCATGACCCATTTGTAACTAAGCCATGTGAATCGACTTTGTCTGTGCTAGAAGAGGATCAATTGCTTGAGATCACAAATGACGGCGGCCTTAAAAGTATGTTTGAGACAACTTCAAATCTCCATACGTTCTGGATTAAAGCCAAGGCGGAATATCATGAGATTGCCACAAAGGCATTGAAAAGCCTGCTTCCATTTCCAACATCCAATCTTTGTGAAGCAGGCTTTTCTGCAGTGACAGCCACCAAAATGAGATTACAGAGTAGACTGGACATGAGCAACACACTTCAGGTGTCACTATCTCCTGGGACTGTATAGTTGCAGGAAAACAAGCTCAGGGCTCCTACTGATTCTGCATTATGGTGAGTTGTATAATTATTTCATTATATATTACAATGTAATAATAATAGAAATAAAGAGCACAATAAATGTAATGTGCTTGAATCATCCCAAATCTATCCCCTCCTAATCCTCCCCCATCCCCAGTCTCTGTCTCCCGTGAAAACAGTCCTTGGTGCCAAAAAGGTGGGGGACCGCTGCTCTATAACACTGCCAACAGTAATCTTCCTAAAATGCAAAGTTGACCATAGCAACCTTCTTTTTAACAAATACCCTTCACCTGTTCCATATTCCTTTTAGGATGAAATTCAAACTCCTCACAAGACCTATGAAACCCTGTAGAATTTACCACTCCCCACCCAAACTCTCCAACCTCATTCCACTCTGCCTCCTGTCATTGCACTGTTCACACTGGCCTGCTGTCTGTCAGCTCCCAGAACACTCCAAACTCTCTCCTGCTCCAGAGTCTTTTGCACATGTAGTTTCCTTTACCTTCAACACTCTCCCTCCCTGCTCTTCACAAGACAGCCTCCTGCAAACTTTAAATCTTAGCTTGTATTTCCTAAATAAGGTATAATCTCTCCTTAGTTCCCTGCTTTAGCATATGCTGTTCTCTGAGCTAGAGGAACTCTACCCTTCACTTTATTTTTGACCTAGTTAACTCCTAATTCTTCTATAAGACATAACACAGCATCATCTCTTATAGGAAGGTTTTCTTAACAAGGTCAGATATTCATCTTCTCTCTACTTATACATAGAGAGAACCCTCTCATTTGACTGTAGTAATAGATAAATCTGTATTCATGCATGGAAAGTTATATACTTCCTACTGAATTACACAATGCACAGATCAATGAGTTTTTACATAAAGTGGCATATGTATAATTTGAAAAACTTGATTTCTTACATATTAAAATAAAATTTTCCTTCTATTAGCTTTATTAGCCAGTACAACTTATAAAGATCAAATAGTCTTGAATGAGAATCTTCTGAAATGTATGTATAAAAAAGGAATAGTACTATAAATGACTGATCCAAGCATTCCCCATATATCATGTAGGATATTCACCCATCAACATTTAAACTTTTAACATAGTAAAAATTATAACATCTGAATTTTGAGTATTTATGTAATGTTATGGGAGAGAAGAGGCAGGCTAGAAATTCATATATAAAATTCCAATTTTGTAGTAAAATACACACTTGGGAGGAAATATTCCAATGCCAAAATAAATGATTTTTACTTTTCAAATTTTTCCAGAATTTGACATGCATAAAATAAACATTTCTTTCAGAAAAAATAATTTAATTTTGTAAAGATTTTGAACTTTCTATACGTTGTTCAAACTGTATTTATAATAAATTAATACTCACATCATCTAAATCTGCTGCATCACCTTTTTCACTACAAAAAAAAGTAAAACACAAATTTTAGCTTCAAAGCGAAATTAATGAAATTATTTAATAATTCAAAAATTTAGAACAGTTTGCTGGGATTAACATTCCAAAAATTTGATTCAACATAGGAATTGCAGAATGGCATTGTAGAGCAGATGGAAACATTCTAAAAGGGAGTCATTTTTTATAAATAAAATAAAAGGTATGCTCCATTAGAAGATATATAAGTCCACTAGAATTTAAAAGAAAAAAAGCAGACAACAACCAACAGTGCTATTTTTATGAATAGAGGTCTGCAAAAACCAATTTCTTCTGTTGGCTTGAAGTATTCTGGCTAATAAAACCAAATCTTTCAAATAAAAGGATATTGAGAAAAGATTGTTTTGAAATAGGATTTTTAACAATGAGCTAAACTCAGTACAACAGTATTTTAGTCCCCTTTGAGACATTGGCCCAGGGCAATTATATTTAACACCAAGACATCTTCCCTTCTCAAAGAGAAGCAGCAAAGATAGCAAGACAACTTTGTGTTAACCCTTCAAAGTAGATGAGAATTTACAGTCAGTGAACTGGCCCAAAAAGTGGTGACTTCTTCACAAAAACCTTCAACAATTTGTTCACCCGTGATACCAACTGAGACAAAAATGCTTCAAAAAAGAAGTTAGCAAGGCATTTTTTAATTAAACATTAAACTGTTAAAGCAAACAGTTTCTAGTATTCAAACTATCCTAAGAGGTAAAAGTTTAACAATTAATCTTAAATTTAATTAATTGGTAGGTAGATAGCAAGAAGAATGAAAGTGATGAGAATGCTTCTGTCATACTAGAAGTTCTCTACTTCCATTATCAAAATGCTTTATTTTTTGGTCTGGGTTTAACTTTTTTGACTTACGAGTACTGACTGTTTACTCACAAAGGAAGCAAGAAAATTATCTGAGCCAGTAAATAAGAACTTAGGATCACACTAATACCAGACTAACCTTTCAACAGCTGGAACAGAACTGAGATGTGGATCATCCTTAAGCAAGTCATGACTACTTTTGCTTTTTCCCTTCATGCTCTGGAAAGGAATGTACAATGTGACCATGAGTGGGGAAATAAAGTCTTCCAAAAGGACAAATTAACAAATTTACAGAAAATCTAGTACCGACATAATGTGGTTAGCAAAATATGTGTTCCTGAAAAATGGGGAACTAAAGCTTTATAAAGAATCATCCTACTCTTCCATTGACTGAAAATACTATTTTAGAAACACCTTTTTTTCAAAAAGTGATACACCATTAAAAATACATCTATTGATTACAAACTTCGAGCTCTAAATCCTCATCATGATTCACATACAACTAAACTAGTTAATTTTTTGTCCCATAAATTATAACTTACAAGCTAGATCACAAGGGTAATCTGAAATAAATGCATACTATTATTCTTCAGATATACCATCTATACTGCACAGAATCACTTTTTAAAATGTACACAAGCAGCCAGATGAGTCCATCTCTAAGGTACTATTTAAAAATAAAAAAAACAGATATGTAGAAGAGCTGCTAAAGCAAGAGACTATTCATCAATGACCAAATATTTATTAAATGCTTTAATTTTAAAGTTCATGTTCTCAATAAATGTACATTTTAGTAGGGAAACAAGACATAGGAAGATATAAGAAGTAGAATTATAAAATAACAACTACTGTTGCTATTATTGTAATTTATTAAGTATATAGTTTGTGTCAAGTCGTGTGCTACAGACAGTATTTCTACCCTTCATTCCTCTTCTGCCCAAATTAAAGTCTATAAGGTGGGCATTATTAGCCCCATTTTACAAATGGTTAGAGAGATTAAGTAATTTAGTCAGTGGTAGAGGATCTAGGATTTAAATCCAGGTCTGTCTGACAATAGTACCTATTTACCAAAAATCCAAATGTATCCATTTTTCTTTTCCTACAGGGCCCTATGGACCCAGAACACTGGCCTGCTTTCAAAGCTGCAATCCCTTATCCTACAGACTTCTCTACTGCAGGGTAGGAAACTTCAAACATATACCTTGTGTCTTGAGGGGTGGGAAGCTGCTCACTACCCTTACCCTGCAACCAATCATGTAAAAGTGAACAGTAAGATGTTAGAGTTCACAGACAGAAAGAATAATTTCTATTTATTTTGAAGGAAAATTTTATTTTGAGAAATTCATTACAAAATATGTAACTAAAGTTTTAAAAGGTCAGATATAGAGAGGTGAAAATCTCTTTCCCTTAAGCTCCATTTACCAATGTTAATTTTGAGGACAGGCACTTATATTTGATAGGTTTTACTCTGAGGCAGATGTATACCTTCTGAAATATATTTCCTGATGGAAATAATAGATTTTTAAATTTCTATATTAATATGAGGTTCTCTACATTTTAAAAATGCAATCAATTAAAACATGCTTATAGTACATGCATAAAATAAACATTTCTTTCAGAAAAAATAATTTAATTTTGTAAAGATTTTGAACTTTCTATACGTTGTTCAAACTGTATTTATAATAAATTAATACTCACATCATCTAAATCTGCTGCATCACCTTTTTCACTACAAAAAAAAGTAAAACACAAATTTTAGCTTCAAAGCGAAATTAATGAAATTATTTAATAATTCAAAAATTTAGAACAGTTTGCTGGGATTAACATTCCAAAAATTTGATTCAACATAGGAATTGCAGAATGGCATTGTAGAGCAGATGGAAACATTCTAAAAGGGAGTCATTTTTTATAAATAAAATAAAAGGTATGCTCCATTAGAAGATATATAAGTCCACTAGAATTTAAAAGAAAAAAAGCAGACAACAACCAACAGTGCTATTTTTATGAATAGAGGTCTGCAAAAACCAATTTCTTCTGTTGGCTTGAAGTATTCTGGCTAATAAAACCAAATCTTTCAAATAAAAGGATATTGAGAAAAGATTGTTTTGAAATAGGATTTTTAACAATGAGCTAAACTCAGTACAACAGTATTTTAGTCCCCTTTGAGACATTGGCCCAGGGCAATTATATTTAACACCAAGACATCTTCCCTTCTCAAAGAGAAGCAGCAAAGATAGCAAGACAACTTTGTGTTAACCCTTCAAAGTAGATGAGAATTTACAGTCAGTGAACTGGCCCAAAAAGTGGTGACTTCTTCACAAAAACCTTCAACAATTTGTTCACCCGTGATACCAACTGAGACAAAAATGCTTCAAAAAAGAAGTTAGCAAGGCATTTTTTAATTAAACATTAAACTGTTAAAGCAAACAGTTTCTAGTATTCAAACTATCCTAAGAGGTAAAAGTTTAACAATTAATCTTAAATTTAATTAATTGGTAGGTAGATAGCAAGAAGAATGAAAGTGATGAGAATGCTTCTGTCATACTAGAAGTTCTCTACTTCCATTATCAAAATGCTTTATTTTTTGGTCTGGGTTTAACTTTTTTGACTTACGAGTACTGACTGTTTACTCACAAAGGAAGCAAGAAAATTATCTGAGCCAGTAAATAAGAACTTAGGATCACACTAATACCAGACTAACCTTTCAACAGCTGGAACAGAACTGAGATGTGGATCATCCTTAAGCAAGTCATGACTACTTTTGCTTTTTCCCTTCATGCTCTGGAAAGGAATGTACAATGTGACCATGAGTGGGGAAATAAAGTCTTCCAAAAGGACAAATTAACAAATTTACAGAAAATCTAGTACCGACATAATGTGGTTAGCAAAATATGTGTTCCTGAAAAATGGGGAACTAAAGCTTTATAAAGAATCATCCTACTCTTCCATTGACTGAAAATACTATTTTAGAAACACCTTTTTTTCAAAAAGTGATACACCATTAAAAATACATCTATTGATTACAAACTTCGAGCTCTAAATCCTCATCATGATTCACATACAACTA